GATCAGAATAAATAATGTATTTTTAAATAAAATAAAAATTTTTAATTTATTTTACCTCTATGCCAAGTTAAGGGGGGGTCGGTTACTTATGATTTGTACTGTACAAATGAAGAATAAATTCTATGATTTAGTGAAATGATCTGAATCGATTTGCTTGTCGTCGTGTTAGTTATTGTTTACACACACAAATAGAAGTCATTAATGTTAACTCTGTCAATATTTTTGGGAACTACCATTTAGGAAAATTATCATATTTATAAGTTAATTTAGTTTTTTATTTATTTATATTTTCCGATATTTAACATTCGATTAGCAACTTTTTCGATAAAATAGCGGTCATGAGAAACCACCAAAACAGGACCGGGGAAATTTATTAACTGTTCTTAATAAATCAATATGATTAGTAGGCTCATCCAGGACTAAAATATTTGCTTGTTGTAAAATAATTTGAACTAATTGAGCTTTTCGTCGACAACACTTTTTATGGCATTTGACAATAAAACCAGCTTAATAAAATTGATTTACACGCTCTTTTTTTAACACAAATCAATTTAAATGCATATATCAATATCGATAAATAACATGCACAATAATCATAAAACCATTTTTGTAAAGATGAATTCTAAAATTTCAAATACACAGATCGCAATACTCATTAGCACAAACGAATTTATAAAGCTGAATGATCTGGCAAAATACAGATATTGACGTTTTATAAAAAAAAGAATGCGAGAAAATAAGTAGTAGGTCTTTTGAATAGACCCCTCTTGAGGTTTTGGAACAATTTATAAAGCATTACATCCATAACAAAAGGTGGGATCATGGAGAAAATAAATTTAAACGATCTAATAAATATAAATGCGAAGTTGCGTTGAAATTATTACACAATTCAAAGCAAATTACATTGGAATTCATAAGTGCAAGCATAATACTTTTTGGTTCTTAATAGAAACAAGTTTTTCAAAAATAGATTCTGACTGCTTTAAAATGCACTGAATTAACTTTAAACACAGCTACAAATGAATACTCGATAATAATGCGATCTTGCGAATATATTAATTCCAACTGCGAATTGGAGCGAAAGTATAGTATTTTTTTATGTTAGCCCAAAGGTACTAAATGGAAAGTGATGCATTAAAGCTGCGGGTGTTTATAGTTTTAGGATTATGTAAATGACCATTTGGTGAGCGAAGTCATGGCAACTAGACATTTATAATGGAGTACGACCAAACTTGCCAAATGATTTCCTGGATACGTAGTGATTGAAAATGTTGGGATCCTATCCTGAAAATAGACCTACTGCTAAGGAACTTCTACTCTGTCTACCAAGACGACTATATCAAGGAGGAGTGGGAACCGAATACTTTGCATTTTCAGTATAGAATATCCTAAAACACATTTTCAGTACTACAACTTTTTAAATATCCTAAACACATGAAAAATTATAGCGATAGGTCTTAGACTAAATGAAATGAGACAAACAAAAAACAACAAATCCACCCATCGGATATTTACTTCAAATGACGCGGGTGCTTTTTTATTTTAAAATACAATCAATAATTAAAAATTAATATTTTGGATATTTAGGTTCAAATGAAATAAATAAATTTATTACTATGTATGCTACGACTGTATATTTTTTATATTAGTGTTTTATTATAATGTTAGTACAATGTAAACTTTACGTTAATAACGATGGCGTCTTAACGTCTTAAATGTTTGATTTTTTAATCAAAGATCATATAAATATCCTATTGAAAATGTGTCGGAAAAATCAAATAAACGCAGAATGATGTAGATTTTCAATGGGTTAATCGAGATAAATTTTTAAGTAACCCTGAGCAATATTTTTATTTCATATTTTAGCGATGACTTCAGAAACGAATTATGAAGTTGAATGATCTAGTGAAAAACTTGAATGACGTATAAATATAACGATGGATGAGCCTCATAATAAATTGAAATCACTGATAAAAGACACTTCCCTTACACCAGTAAGAATGGCATTTTTTTAACTTTCAGGATACCAGGAGTGCCAATGGACGTGAAATTTAATGATTTTCAATTTTTGGACTGTAAACAGATTTTTGGCTAACTCCGGGTACTTTTTTAGAATATTTCAATAACACTCTGAGGGGATAAGTTTACTTCTCACTCTGGGTACCCTTCTTGACATTCCACCATACATTAATTCTATATTTACAATTTAAAAATAAAATTTCTGAGACTACTCAGAGTGTTATTAATGTTATTTATAGTATAATAACAACTTAAATTTTTTTGCAACTTTCTATAACATTTCAATAACATTCCACAGAGTACATGGAATATACTAAAATTATTATCAAATTTTATTAATTTTCTAGTAGTATTTTACAGATTTCAAATATTACTGGAATGTCATTTAATAAATATAGAATGTTATAGAAAGATACACAGATTTTTTGTAAAAATTTTTGGTATCCAGAATATTATAAGTATATCTGTTCTTGAAATATTGTAAGTTTGTATAAAAAAACTATTACAATCAATCTGAATACTCAGAGTATTAAAAGAGTACAATTGATCAAATTTTATTAATAAATAACACAATATTTTTTTAAAAAAAAGTAAATTGGATTTACAAGCATTTTTTGAGATTATTTAGATACATGAAGTTTCTTAGTATAATTTGTTTTATAATAAATTTAGATATTAAAAGTTTACAATTAAAAAAATTACTATTATAATATTATAAAAATACGTATAATATTTTTATTATTGAAAGAATTATTTAATAATATAATAACTATTAAATTCCTCTTTTGAGCTTTATATCCAATTGTTATTATTACTAAAATAATTGTGATAATATTTTCTTAATATTTTTTCTTTATAATAAAAATAAATTTCCAAATTTCTATATTATATAAATTTTGATTATTTATATAAATAATATATTTTCTTTTGAAAATATTATTCATATTAATTTTAACTTTATGCTCAAAAAAATTGGATTTGATTAGTATATATATCAAATTCATATTTATAAGATAATTTAACATGAATATATAAAGTTAATTTATGATATTTTAATATATTTGAACTAATTATATTATACCAACTTTGTATTTTCCATATTTAATAATTATATTATTATTTTTTAATCTCTCAGAATGTGTTTTATAGCAATCTCCATAAATATTCCTATAATATAATGCTAATCAATTAGCTTTCTCCAGTAATAAATTAGTATTATCAAGTAGTAATAAAATTTTATCTTAAAACTTCTTCATATCTAATAACTCGAATTCAATAATATTTTGTGATAGTTATATATTATTGTACTCAGATTCTTTAATAAATACTAAACTATTTGATTTAGTATATAATTTTTTAACATTAATAATTTGCAATTTCTATATAAGTATTTTATAAAAATTTAACTTTAATTGGCACTCTGAGTTTAGTGACCTGTAATATTATAATATATAAATGGTTAATATTATCTACACTTTGTGTAAATTGAAATCAAATTTCAGGTACTTCAAGTTTTCTTATCCAATAAAAAAAAGGGTATCCAGAATGAGAAGTAAACTTATCCCTCTCAGAGTGTTATTGAAATATCCTAAAAAGGTATCCGAAGTTAGCCAAAAATTCGTTTACAGTCCAAAAATTAAAAATCATTAAATGCCATTTTTACTGGTGCTACTGTAAAAATATTATTGTGATATATTATAATGATCAAATTACTGATTTTTAACTTTCTAGACCAGTTAATTTGCATAAATATAATCACAAAATTGATGGAGTTCTTTCTTATATTAGCCTAGAGGTACAAAATCAGTATTATAGGTTTGGAAAAATTATATATCATATTGTAACTAAAGCTCTGTTCTGTTCGGAGATCAACCCGAACCGATAAATTCGTGTCGGGTCGGGTTTGACCCGAAAATCGTAAAATAGTTTTTCGTTAATAATTTTTATTTTTATTAAGACACTTGTATTTTATTCTTAAGTAGAGTTGTTTGGAATATAATAGTGTATATATCCACAAATTTTCATTAATTTGAATTAATATTGAACGAGAAATGACGATTTTTAGGCTGACCCGAAATATTTCGGGTCGGGTCACGGATTGGACCGACCTGATTGGAGCACAATTGTAACAGGCAAACATCATTCAATGAGCATAATCATGATGAAAATCTTGTATACAATACTATAGAGGAATTAGTTTTTACAGGTTTATTAATATAATTTCGACAGATTTTTTAATACGTCCGTGATCTTTTAACAGATATATTGATAGATTTAATAGTCAAATAAACAAGATAAAAGAAAATGAAAACAATATAGAACATAAATTGTGATATAGTTTATTTTAACATAAAAATTTAGTAATTTTAACCAGAATTGACCTTTCAGCTTAACTCTTTTTGCAAATCTTTCTACATACAACCGAATCTATTGCTTGCCCACAGTTCACACAAATAGGTAGCCAGTCATGCGTCGTCTTGATACACCCTTCACTTTTAACTCGGACCTTTTTACAACATGTGCAAATCTCTTTACATCCATCCGAACTCCATTTTTTCCCGCAGTTCGTACAAATAGAAGAACAAGGCTTTTCTCTAACTTCATGTTTGCATTCCTCATAAAAATCTTGACATCCTTTACTTTGGAGAGATTGCTTACAGCAATTATATCGAGATTTGCATCCGGGGGAAGCCTCGGCTTTACAGCATCTAAATCTCTGTAAGCAACCAGAGTCGTCTGATTTCTTTCGGCAACAGCAATAAACCAAAGTGCATCCAGGTAATTTTATATCTTTCTCACAGCAATCCCAACGCATAGGGTTTGTCACCTTATGTGAAAGATTTACCAACCCTATAGTCACGACACGAAGAGTCCAAGCACCAGCACTGTTGTCCATCACTTGTTTCGTTTCGCCACCACATGGTTTACCCGTATGAACCCATTCTTTGGAACTTGGATGGTATGATTCTGTTGAATCAGGGTGATAATAAGCAAGATCTTTTGTGTGTTTTTGTATAATTTTGCCAAGATGAACATCTTTTTTATTGCCGTGAATCAATTCGGCTTCCTTATGGCACTTTGGAACCGCTATCCTTGGATCGGTTTCTTCAGGACATTTTAAACACTTGACTCTTTTAAAGATGAAAGGTATCGGATATTTGTTATGTTCCTTCATTAGTGCTTCGTATTTTGCGAGGATTTGTTTCGGTTCAGATCCCTTAAAAACACCATAGCTGTTTAATTTAGCACTTGTAAATTTTCCTTCAACATAAATACTATTATCCTCCAAACTTTCAAACAATAAAATCTTTAAATCGCCAGTTTTCGCAAGAAGATCTTCTTTGCTATCCACTGGTTGGCCATATTTTTTTTGATAAATCTCATTAGCTATTTCTTTAGCAGCTTCACGAGGACCTTGGTCAATTTGATTGCCTTTGGTGACGATGATAGTATTATTCCATACATTGCAGTCATGAAATTGCGCCAAAGATTCTATGAATCTTGCCTGACGTTTGAACGAGGCTGTTGCTCTCACATCAGTCATCACAAACCATAAGATAGTTGTTATATTGCGAATTTTTTTGTTCACCATTGTACGAAAAATCGAATGCACAGTTTCATCATCACCCTTATCTTCATTCGAATCATCAAACCCAGGCGTATCAACATAGAAGGATCCGTTTCCGATATTGTGGAACGTAACTTTTTCCGTTTTGGATTTTGTATCATTTCCAATTTCGGCATCTCGCGCACCAAAAATAGTTCCCGTAAAGCTTTTTCCATTCCCCGTCTTTCCGATTGCAAGGATACATCGCGACTAGGTAGGATATACATAAACATAAAGTAAATCATTGTTCAAGAGTTTTTAGCATCATCTATACTTACGTTTACATCGGACATTTCTAATCAAAGCTTAGGTATGTAATAAAGTGTGTAAGAAAGTGTTTGTTTGGAGAATTGTTAGCGGGATATCAGTATTACAGAATTGCGTTGCAATTAAGGACGTTATATAATTCCGTTCTATTGTACAAGCGAAGTGGTATAACAATTATTACGCTATTGTTCCTTATATTTATAGACAGAATGTTATTACGAGAATGCAATTCACTAAATAGTTATGTTGCTATTAATTTACTCGTGAATTTTTATTAGAATAATCAAAATCAATAATCAGGAATCAATGATGATTTTACAAAAATATGCTGCAGAATGTGCTTTACAAATTATGCATAATGCTCGGCATGGGCCGGTTCGGGTCGGGTCTGGACCCGAAACGAAAATTTATTTTTGGACCATGAAAAGTCCATTTTTTATTAATACAATCTTTATTCAAACTTGTTCACCATATATAATTCTATAATATAAAAAAGTTTTATACGATTTCAGATGCAAATGAGTATTTTACGAGCTTCTAAATATGTTCATAAATTTTGAACGAGAAATTGGTCACAATACCAGGTTTTAATGTAACAAATACTATTAATAAAGAAAAATTGGCCTAGTTCTATTCTAAAGATTCTCAATTTCAAAAAGTTTTGAGAGTTGATTTACAAAATATCGCGTAAAATGAAAACGTTCTTGAATTTATATGGTGTATAGAATCAATGTTTGATGCTACATGTAAAATGTGCATCCTGGGTAATAAAGAAATCATTATCTTTGTCGTGGGAAATTTCGTGTGATTTTTACATACAGTATTTGTATTACGCTAGATTGATATGTAATATTGTATGTCCGGGAAAATTCTAAGGTAATAAAGATTATTGTCAAAGGTTAATTTAAAGGTTGTGATTAGGGTTAGAGTTAGGATTAGAGCTTAGATTAATGATACTTGACGATGACGAAACATTTCGTCACGTCAATTTGACGAAACCTTTCGTCACGACCATTTTGAAAA